GGGGGGGGGTCTTTCATTTTCGGCAAATAGAGTGGACCTTGACGTCGAGGAGGCACAAGGACGCTCGCCAGTGGCGTGAGCTGGGATCTCCAAGCGACACTCTGTGACCCGGGCCCGGGCCGGGATAAAGGACGGGCCGACCGCGCCACGGCGGCCAGCGCGGCGTCCCGAGGCTCAGTAAAGCCCCGGCCTTATCATCCGACGATTACGTACGCCTTTCACAGAAAGAGAGTGAGAGAGCGAGCAAGGAACGTAGAGCACCACTCCCTGAGAGCGTTTCCGGTATCGGCCAACGCCACTCACGGTTCGGAAATAATTATCTTTAGAGAGACGATAGCTTTTCCTAGTGCACAGTGAAACTGGGCTTTATGGTGATATTGTCCGACGATCAAGTGGGGTGGACCACAACGGGGTCTTCGCGACAGGGTGCCTACGAGCAGGCAGGGGGGTGGGGGTGAGGGAGCTCCCCCAAACGAATTCCAGAGCCAATCTAGAGGGGGTGAGGAGAGTCGCTATGTTGGCCAGGCGCGGTTTAATACTGGTTGGGGGGGCAGGCGATCGCCACCGTCGTTCCTAGTAAGACGGCTGAGGCTGAAAGATGATGTGCTCGACAAAACCCCTGTACCGGCTGATTCAGAGAAGACGCGGGTGCGGGCGGGTTGCCTACCCAAGGGGCTATGGCGCCTTACGGGCAGAGCGGGTAGGCAAACCCGCCCGCACCTTCGTCTTCTCTGAATCACCCGGTACATATTGGCAACCCAAGGTGCAACGCCCCTCTGCCACCTTGGTGCCAGGGTCTTGATCTGGTGGTGGAAGGACGTTAGTATGGAGGAGCTACCCGGTCGCCGGTCGCCCTCTGGAGAATTCCTCGCGACGCACTTAGTTGACCATCACACCGAGAGGTCCCCGACGACGAGGTGCGCATGTCGCCATCAGGTTCTCGACGACAAGGCGGCGGTCCTTCTGCCGACAGGTGTGCGGGCCCGGCTGGAAGAACCAGCTGTACCGCGAGAAGCACTACCTGATGAACGGGCTGTGCTACAGCCTGGACTGGAACAACCTGTACCGCCAGCCGAAGCCATACGTGCCCCTGGTGGAGAGAGGTGAGCCTGGGCGGAGCGACCGCTCACCAACACGCTAATCTGGCAGACTTCCGGGTCCTCCTTTGACAAAGGGAATGCCACTCCAACGCAACGACTCGGCGTGTTCCCGCAGAGAGGCAGGGCGCGGTGGTGCCGGACGAGGCCTCTCCGGGAAGGACCAAGAACGTCTTCTACTACGCCTTCGGGGAGGCGGGCTTCTCCGCGCACGTCAGCCAGGTGAGCGCGCGTGCGCGCGCGTGCGCACCCGACTGGGGCAGCTGCGCGAGCTGCGCTTGCAGACGGGTCGGGGGCGATTGCAAAGCGGGCAATGGCATTGCACTGCAGGCAGCAGATAAGGAATGAGCGAGCCCGGCGTTTCCTCTGCTTGTTCCTGACCCCCCACCCCAAGGCGCGGACCGAGACGGGACGGGGCCGGACGGGTGGGTAAAGGGTTACGATTATGACTATCCGATCTCCGACTGTTTGCAGGATGCGGGGGAGGTGCTCCTGGGCGCGCCCGGAGTCTACTCCTGGAGAGGTGAGTGCCACTCCTGCCCCATGTTTAAACGGCTTTCACCAACCAGCATTCATTTTACATATTCTGTGTTTTACAAAAGAAAAATTACACTAGTTTTGTTACGTTACAACAAATTAGGAACGCAAATTTTTTAGAGACTAAAACAGATTCAATCTGAAAGGAACCCTGGCTCAGTAAAGAAAAAAAAGCTAATAAGCATGCTCCTTATTCGTATTGAACGTCACGGCTTAAGATGTACCATTTAATTTTCATATATTTTTTGCAGGATCTGTGGTACGGTACAGAATCAATGAAGCTGGACAACTGGTGGAGAAATTTGTGACACGCCCAGATTCATTTGAGGATTATGGATATTTTGGTTTGTACATCACAGTTTATGGAAAGTAACTATTCGCACTGGGGTCAAGTCTGATGGTGGGTTTATTCTTGTGAGGTGAGTCGCCTCCAGGAGAAAACGGTTTTGTCAAAATGATATCAAGTGATGTCAAAGCCGAAATTTAGTCATTTTGATGGCCTAATTCGACTTCATTTTGATACCAAAGGACATCATTTTTTTATATACCAAAGGGCACACACTAGGCACAGGCTCATAAGGACTGCGATTGGCTGAAAACATCTGAAGCGAGCTGACTCGCCTCACATGACTAAATCTCCCATAGCCGTGATGTCAGCGTTAAAATTTGATCAGTTTGGTGGGCAGCTTCGACATCACTTTGACATCAACTGTTTACCGCCGTCGCTTTTGCTCTGGCCCCACACAGAAGGTTATGTTTGGGTTAAACATGTGAACTGACACTTGCCTTGAGTGATGAGTAGGCCGGTAAACTGAAACCATCACAAAGCAGCAGCCTACCTAAGGACAAAGTAAAAGCTGCATAAGCATTCAAAGAGGGGCAGCAATGAATCTGATGATCAACAGAATGGCATCTCACCTTGAACGGTAGCAGACGCCTTAGCGCATCGCTCAAAGTACTACAGAACAATAGTAGTATACATAAACCAGAGATCACGTCGTCATAAAAAAACTCAGTCACACAAAAATTCGCTCGCGCAAAAACAAAGTTGAAATAGGGTATTTTAGAGCTGGACGTGAAGAAGTAAAATGGAAGAACAAAACGCGCACTGCTCATGAGCAGACGTGGAGGGGGGGAAGCTGGGGATGGAGTGGGGGGCGTCTGCTCATGCGCAGTGCGCCTTTTGTTCTTCCATTTTACTTCTTCACGTCCAGCTCTGAAATACCCTATTAACTGCACACACACACACACTGAGATACGAGGAGGTTGTGCGACACGAACGAGCAACAACTGTCAACTGAACTGAAGGAGAAGCAGAAAACGGAAGTCGCTAGGTGAGGACCGTATGGGTTGTCTACTTACGGTGCATCGCCCTCTCTGTCGGCCAAACCTTAAACCGCGATTCTCATCACGTGTGTGGGGTAGAGAGACTCCGGGGGCCGCCACTAAGCCAGCTGTATCCCGAGACTCCGAAGCCGGTCCTCCATTTACTTTTACTCCATGTCTCTCATGGCCATGGCCTGTCGTATCGTCAGCGTCGAGTGTGATATGGCGCGTTAATGTGTCTCCAAAATAAGTGCTTCGCAAAATGAAAAAAAAAAAAAAACTGATATCAAAAGCGGATCGGGGCGGGTTTTTGCGGGGCGGGGCGCGAATTCGTCGGAATTAATTCAAGCCAAACACCACATCCGACCACAAAAGAAAGGAGCCGTGCGTCTGCCAAACCTTCCCAAGTGACAGAGATTCGTCTGAAACACGTCAATTTAAAGTATACTGACGTCAGGACCATTTCGTCACGTTGACGTGTTTAAAATCGCGATATTTGACGTAATTTTGACGTCAAAGTGACGTAATCTTGACTCTCAACAGTCACGTTTTTGTCACTGATGACCGAAAAGTGTCAATATTACGTCACTTTGACGTCAAAATTACGTCAAATATCGTGATTTTAAACACGTCAACGTGACGAAATGGTCCTGACGTCAGTATACTTTAACTTGACGTGTTTCAGACGAATCTCTGTTACTTGGGTTTCTGAACGGCTCCCGTAGGGCTGGTCGCTTCGTTTGGGCTGCGAGGTGGGGAGGGGGGGGGGCGCTGTTGGCGCTGTGCCTCTAACGGAAGGGGAGGAGGGAGGGCCGGCCCCTGCCTCGCCTAGGCCCACTAGATCATCATCATCTCGTGCAATGTGTCTCCCTCCGCGGAAGGGGATGACGGCGCTAAAAAGAAGGGGGGAGCAGAATCCACAACATCTCCAACGGGGCCGAACGTGATATCTTGCATGTTCTCTCTCCCAGGGTACTCCGTGACGGCCGCGGGCTTCGACACCTCCAGGCGGACGCCAGTCCAGTACGCGGCGGGAGCCCCGCGGGCAGCGCATTCGGGCAAGGTGTGTTCCACTGCAATATCGAGCGATGGAGAAGGTCGCCAGGGACGATCCTCTCGGCCTTAAACGGGTCGCCGGCAGGCCAGTCAGCGATGAAATCATTTTCTACCCTCCCTCCCCGACCTCAGTCATTCCCACCCACCAGCCCTGTCCCTATCCCGCCCCCAGTCTCCCTGGAGAGGTGCCAGGTTTTATGAGTCTGGCGGGCTGGCACGCCGCGCCTGCACCGCGCCACGCCGAAGAAGTACTCCTCCCCGGCCGCACGACGTACTGCCTGGTGTCACCGTGCTGGCTGGGCAGGTGCCGGGAGAGCGTGGTGGAGGAGGGAAAGGGGAGGGCCGGGTGGGGGTGTTCCTAGCCCGCTCCCGGCCCGCTCCCGGCCCGCCCCTGGCTCGCCGCCAAAGCCAGAGATAAGGGCCTGAGCGATTGACAGAGGGTGGTGGCGGTGACGGACACGAGTGTGAGGAGAATCACACCCTTCTCCTGCTCCTTCCCGGCCTGACCTTATCCGGAAATGTTCCGCGAAGGGTTATCGGTTGCTTTGGGCTTCCTCAACTGCTGTACATGTACATGAGGGCGAGGGCCCCAGGTGCTGCTGTTCGAGCTCCCGGACGAGGCGGTCGAGCCCGGCAGCGCGACCGCCGACAGCACCAGGATGTCCGTGCTGCAGGAGATGTTCGGCGAGCAATTCGGAGAGTACTTCGGAGCCGCCGTCCTCGCCGAGGACGTAAATGGGGATGGCCTGGCCGACCTGCTGGTGGGTGCGCCGCTCCACTCGACGGCACAGGCGGGCGACCAGGGCCGCGTCTACGTCTACCTCAACCAGGGCGAGGTGAGCCTGTGCGAGGGCGGCGCCCGCGGCTACCAGCATCGTGTGTCTTGCTGCTGACTGCTTGGTGTCCGCAGGGTCGTCTCCGTCTGACCGATTCCCCGCTGGGTCCGTGGAGCCGGCCCTCGCGCCACGCTCCGGGCCGCGGCTCGCCCCCGCACGGCGACCCGCATGCCTCGCCCCACGGCGCCCGGTTCGGCTCGGCGCTCGTTGCCGCCGGGGACGTGAACAAGGACGGCTACAACGGTGAGAAATGTGTAATGCGAAGTCAGAGGTCAACAGTTCGGCAGTGACATTGGCTCGTCAATGTTGTGTTGTGGCACGCAATATGCAGCTCGGCTCGCTCGTGTGCTTGCAGATGTATGGATCGGCGCTCCGTACGAGGACGGTGGCCGCGGGGCTGTTTACCTGTTCCTGGGCTCTGCTATCGGCTGTGGCCCTTCGGCGGCGCAGCGCATCCCAGCAAGGGACGTCCACGCCGACCTGCGCTCCTTTGGCTTCAGCATGGCGGCCTCCGCCGACGTGGACGACAACGGGTACACTGGTGCGGCGGCGACGACGACGACTGCGCTTGTTCCGCCTGACCCGAGCCGAGCTCCTCTCATTGAGTCTTCGTGTCCCACAGACCTGGCGGTCGGCGCTCCGTTGTCTGGACACGCCGTCGTGCTGCTCACCCGGCCCGCGGCCCGCCTCGCGCCCAGGATCACGTCGTCCGTCACGGAGCTGTCCTTCAGCGCCTCGTCCTTCGTGCTGAGCGCATGTCTGCAGTACGCCGGACACCGCGCGCATCCCCACGCAGGTCGTGATGCTCCCCATACAGATCAGTCCCCCCGACTCTATGCTTTCCGGAACTAATTGGACGAGCTCTTCCTTTCGACCGCAGTCGCCATGGTGACCCTGGCGCTGGACGGCCCCTCGGAGCGCGCCATGCTCAGCATGCGTCCCGGACGTCCCGCCGCGCGCCTGGTGCAATACAGCCAGCCGCTGCAGCTCGGCCGACTCGCGTGCACCAACGTCACCGTGCTCATCCGCCCCAACAACGTGGACTTTACGACGCCCATCGACGTGACCATGCGATTCAACCTGACCGACGAGGCGTCCCGAAAAGGTGAGCCGCATCTGACCTGCAAGCTGCGCGATCGCTTGCGTCCGCGACCCACGGAGTAACCACCGCGTGTGACAACTACGAAAATATCTGAAAGAATGCCGCTCGCAGACAAGCCCTTCTGCCGGTCGTGCCCCGTGCTGGACCCCACCGCGCCCAGCTCTGCCGCGCTGCGCATCCCCTACGCGACGGGCTGCAAGGACGACTCGCTCTGCCGCCCGGACCTCAAGGTGTCCGCCGAGTGGCACGACACGGCGTAAGTACACGAGTCGGCAGAATTACATGGCGAAGGCAATCAGCTCCACGGCCCTTGTCATGTGCACGTGCAGTCTGCCGCTGGTCGTGGGGAGCGTACGGGAGGTGACGCTGCGCGCCCTGGTCCGCAACACCGGCGAGCCGGCCTTCCTCGCCAGGATGGCGGTGACGCTGCCGCCGCCTTTGGCCGTCGCCAGGATGCCACCGACCTGCCACACACCGCGAGCCTTCCTGGCGAGGACGGCCGCCCCCGCGCCCACGCGCCTCATCTGTGACCTGGCCAACCCCCTGGGCCACAACAAGCAGGTGAGTCGAGCGCTTCCCGCGGACCGCAGAGCAGTACGTGCAAGCGGCACGGTGGTGACCGGTGGTGACCTCCTGTGTGTGCCGCAGCTGCTGCTGGAGCTGCCGCTGGACGTATCGCAGCTCTCTCTGGCCGCCGTCGCGAGCGCCGCCGCGCCCTCAGTGACCGTAACGCTCAACGCGACGAGTGCGGGGTCGGCCAACACCAGCGACGGCGTCCTCTCCCTACGGCTGCCGCTCGCGGCTATCGTGGACCTCGACGTGGTCGGGAGGGCGTCTCCTGAACTGGGGCTGCTCCCCGACCACGACAGCACCAAGGCCATCGGCTTCACGCACACCTTCGAGGTGCTCGTCTCCCTTCGGCTGCGAGAGTCGTTGAACCACGGCACCACCCTGACCCTGCTCCGTTCGTCCTGCAGGTGCGGCACGTAGGCCCGACCTGGGCGCCGGGCGCCGCGCTGCGCCTGCACGTGCCCCTCAAGGCGCGGGTGGGCGGGCCGCGCGGCCGCATCGTGACGCTGCTCAAGGTGCGCGTGCTCGTGGACCGGCGCCGAGTCAACTGCACAACCCGGGAGGTGACGGGAGTCGCCACCGGCCGAGACCAGGAGGACGACTTTGCCAAGGCAAAGGGTACGCCGGCCTCGGCGGGCGAGGACGCCGACGACTGGGAGGACCTGGCGGACGGCGCGGCGGCCGGTGGGCTGCGCTGCGGTGTGGCGCCGGCCCTCTGCGTGGAGCTGCAGTGCCCGCTGCTGCTGCTGCCGCCCGCGACCGCCACGGTGGACCTGCGCCTGCGCCTTCTCACCGAGAGCCTGGACGCGGTCCTGGACGCAGTGGGGGTGGGGCTCAGCGCCGTGGCCGTGCACACCAAGGCCGTGGTCGTGCTGCCCGACCTGCCCTCGCTTCCGGCCGGCAGCAAGTTCAGGTAGGCTCGGCCCGCTGACCTGTCCTTGAAGGGTCTACCCACCGAGTCGAACATAAGGGCATGGCACAAGAAGTTAAAGGCAATGTCGAAAGCACCCACTACAAACGAGCCGCACCTCCACAAACGGCCCCGTCGGCAGCGAAAGGGAGGAGCTGCAGCAGAGTTCTGAACGGTCGCCTGTATCGCAGGTCGCGGCCGGTGCAGCTGTCCACGCTGTTCATGCGGCCGGCTGAGTCGGCGCCCGTGCAGCCCTGGGTCGTGGGGCTCTCCGTGGCCGCCGGGCTGCTGCTGCTGGCGCTGCTCACGCTGGCCTTGAGGAAGGTAAGGCTGGGCGGCGGCGACGTGCTCAGGGGCGAGTGGGAGGGGAGGGGAGGCTGTCCACCGTCGGCCTTAGATAGCCGTCTGTAATGGCGCGCAATTGGAGCTACAAAACCCTTGTACCCTCGGTCAGGGCCTCACGACGACAGTAGGCGGGTTAGCCTACTCCACCCGTCAGGAGCCATGGCCCCTAGAGTATGCAAACCCGCAACACTGTTGAGTCGCGGCCCCGACACACGGTATATAGGCAACTTGCTCTACACCGCCTCCTCTTGTCAGACAGCCCTTAATACGCCCCTACCCTGTCTCTATCAGGCTATCCGCCTCTTCCTCTCGCACACACACACCTACACGGTGCTTGTTGCAGGCCGGGTTCTTCGGCAGGAAGAAGGTTCCGCGGGTGGGCGACGGTCCGCAACCCGGCCAGGGCATTCCCGCGGACCGGCCACCGGGAGGCGCGGACGTGGACGTGGACGACGACGACGACACTCTCCTCGCCGCCCAGAAGTCCGCCGCTTCCGTCCTCGCCTCAGACGATGACGGCATTGACGGCGCCCTGGAGACGGCCAGCGACAGCGGCATGTCCATGCACTCGTCGGTCGGCGCGCCGCAGCAGGCCGAGCAGGCGCCGAGCACGTGACCGCGGGGGCAGGGGGAGGGGAGGGGCCAGGGGTGCGTGACTGGCCCCAAGTGTTCCGCTGATCTGATTTCTCTGGAGGCGCTCGACGGCTGGCGTGGTCGGGGGAGGGGAAAAAAACAAGACTGAATTTAGTTTAAGCCCTGGCGGCGCCGACTGAAACTAAGCTTTCTTTCGTGGAAAA